GTAGGGAAAAATTGGTTTTGACCAGAAAAAAAGAAGTTGAATTGAAGTTTCTAGAAATTTGTGTGCTGCTCACCATTTCAGATGTTTTGGTCCATGTCAATTATTTATACATATGCCCACCTCCGATATTTCTTGTTATTTAATGTGTTGTTTTGTTTGTTGGATTATGCCCCAGGTGCATGATGATTCAAGGTTATTTGTTCTTGAAATTGGGACTGAAGAGCTGCCACCTCAAGATGTTGTTGATGCAAGCCAGCAAGTACAACTAATTTAATTCGAAGCAAATTTAATTTGTTTACATGGATTGTCCCCCTTTTTGAAATGTTATTAACATTCTGAAGGTTTATGTGCCTTTCCATATTTGGTTTTTCTCTGATTGTCCTGAGCTGGTCATTGCAGTTGAAAGATTTAATGGTTCAGTTACTAGCAAAGCAAAGACTGAGCCATGGTGACGTACAAGCTTTTGGCACACCTCGCAGACTGGTGGTAAGATTAGAAATTTTGTCTCCCTCTGCATTGGCAATTTATTGATTTTATTTTTCTACTCAAGCATTTTCATGTTGAGGACGAACCTTTTATATCCTTTTGGGTGCATCAACGTAATTGGCTGAACAGAATGTCCATTCTTCTATTTTCTTTCTTCCTTTTTCATTTTGAGTTCTTTAGGAATTTTCATTTTATCCTTTTGTTTGTGTTGAACTTCGATTGCATAATTCAAGCTGCACTCTTTTTGAGATACGTCCACAGTTTTATGGTTGTATATCGATTCTGTCGGGTTCTCTTTCTTCCTTTTCCTATTTGTAATTTTTCTTTCACACAATGTCTATTTATTCTATTTTCTAATGGGAGAGGGTGGCCAATTCTAAGGAGGAAGGTGGGCTTGGTGTGGGTTCTTTGAGGGAAAAGAACGAAGATTTGCGAGCTAAATGGTTATGGCGCCTTCCTAGGGAACCTAATTCCCTATGGGCTAGGGTGGTTAAAAGCAAGTATGGGTCAGCTTCTAATGGGTGAGATGCTATTCCCGCCACTTCGGTTACTTCTCTCAACCCTTGGAAGGATATTTCGGCAGGTTATCAATCCTTTTTACAGTGCTGCAGATTTGAGGTGGGAAATGGGAATAGGGTTAGGTTTTGGGAGGATAGTTGGGTGAAGGAGGGGTTGTTGAAGGACTCTTTTCCGCGCTTGTTTGCGTTGTCTTCAAAGCAGTCCTTAAGCATTGATCGTTTTGTTGATTCTCACGTTTTTCCTCATAATTGGGACTTTGGGTTTAGGAGAAATCTGAATGATAGGGAGACTGCCGAGGTGATTAAATTGCTGGATGTTCTGGAAGGTTTCAGATTGTGTGCTTCTAAAAGGGATAGGAGAAGGTGGGATCTTGAGGTGTCGGTCCCCTGCAAGTCCTTTCAATCCTTTTTACGCAACAAGGGGAGTGTTGTGACTTTTCTTCCTTTCTCTAGTGTGTGGAAGGCCAAGTCTCCCCCTAAGGTCAAAGTTTTTGTTTGGTTGGTGGCGCTTGGGAAAGTTAACACTTCGGATCTTGTCCAAAGGAAAAGACCTTTCATGTATTTGTCTCCTCAGTGGTGTGTGTTATGTAAGCTTGGTGAGGAGAGTGTGGACCACCTTTTCTTGCATTGTCCCTTTTCCTTAAGTCTTTGGGGGCTTTTGTGGAGGGAGGTTGGGACCGTTTGGGTGATTCCGAAAGGGTGCTCTGATTTCCTTTGTTCTGATTTTGCGGTGTGGGGTTCGGGAAAGCGCGCCTCAACCTTGTGGGGCTGTCCGGTTCACTCTGTTTTCTGGAACATTTGGATGGAGCGTAATAGGAGAATTTTTGAAGACTACAAGGGGGTGGGAGTGAGTGATTTGTGGGATAGAGTTAAGTACTGGGCAGCTTTGTGGGCTTCTGTTACTGAAGATTTTAAAGATTATTCTGTTTCTACTATTTTGAGGGATATGGCAGCAGTGGTTATGTGAGGGTTGGGGGGTGTGTTGTTTCAGTGGTTTTTTGGCTTTGTTCCTCCCTGTTAGTTTGGGAGGGGTTGGTGTTGTTTGTTTCTTTGTGTGTTGGTGTTGTTCTCCGGTTGTGGTTGTCTTATCCACCTCCGTGTTCTTTATCGTTTCTTCTAAAAAAAAAAAAATATTCTATTTTCTTACTTTTTCATTTTAAATTTTAGACAGTTTAGTGGCTGTTTTCAGTTTATCCTTTTATTGTGTTGAAATTCCATTGCGTATTTCAACCTTCTCTTTTTCTTGGATGCTTCCGCAATTTTATGATTGATATCAGTCCTGCCTGGTTCTCTTTATTCCTTTTCCTTTTAAAGTTTATTTTTATTTTTATTTTTATGAGAAATAAAATTTTGTGTTAATATAAGGAGCTTCCTTATAGTTTTTATCTTGCTTTGTTTCTTTTCTGTGTTAATCTTGTCTACTTTGTAAGATTGCTCCTTCTATTCACAAATATGTTTCTTAATTGCATAAAGCTAGACAGGAAAAAAGTAAGAGGGGAGTTTGTTGTTTTTCAGAACTGTGTTTTTCTTTGTTAATGCAAGCCTTAGATGGAAGATTTTATGCAATTATGAAACCTCATGCATGAATCCGAACTAAAATTAAGTTGAAATTTGAGAATTTGTGGACATGCTGCTATGTTTTTTTATATATAATTATATATAATTCTTAAACACTTTGAATGTTTACTTTCGCACATCTAGGTTTCTGTTGAGAATCTCTGCACTAAACAAATGGAGAATGAGGTTGAGGTTCGAGGACCTCCCGTTTCAAAATCTTTTGATGATCATGGAAATCCTACGAAGGTAATACCTGACTATCCATTCCTTTCTTCTCCTTGAAGGCTTGTGGGCTTTCTCAAATGTACCTATTTGGCTTATCATGCTTATTGATGCCATTGCTTTTGCATGCTAATGTGACATAAGGATTCTCCATGTCATGAATTTTTAAATTATAATTCATATGTAAAGGCATTTAGTGTTGAACCTGTTATTTTATGTCAGGCTGCCGAGGGTTTCTGCCGGAGATACTCTGCACAATTGAACTCGTTATATAGAAAGTCTGATGGTGAGTCTGGGCAGATGTACACACAAGTACATGTGTTTTGGACCTGTTCTTTCATAAGTTACATTTTGTGGCTGCTCTGTTGTAGTTGTGCTCACTTCATTAGGAGCTTGTTTTCCACTTTTCAGGGAAAACAGAATATGTCTATGCTCGTGTAATAGAATCCGCCAGATTTTCTTTGGAGGTTCAAATTCTTATCTTTTCCTATTGCTACACAAATTGGATTTTCAGATTTCATGTCTTGGTTTATTATTATTATCTATTTTGTGTGTGGAAATTTCATTGTGATAGACAAGCTGATGCCCTTTGAGATTCTTGTGTTACTGTGCTGTGTGTTTATTGAAGTTATAACTTAATGAGTGTTAACTTTTTGAAATTAATTAGCTAATATATCATCGGCAAGTTTATTCTGTAAACTATTTGCATGTGATGACGAAAAGAAAAAGGAATAAGAAAAATCTGTTATTTGTCTTGAATGGGTTAGTTGCAATATTACTATTATTATTATTATTATTATTATTATTATTATT